TTCAATGAAATATTTGGCCATGGGAGTAGGCACACTAAATTAGGAAAGTTTGACCAGTATTTTGAAGACATCACAGGTTATAGCTTACTCCTCCGCGACGGCGTCCAGAAACTCATCCTCGAAGAGGTACGTCCTCAGTTGTTGGAGTTTGAGGGCAAAAGAATCATCCATTTCTGGGTCAAGAGGGGTCGTCGAACCAGCACGGGTTGCGTCCACATACGACTTATGAAGCTTAAGCAGGGCCTTCAAAGTCTCTACTGGGTTTGATTGCTCCATAGCCAGAATATCCTCTGAAGTATGCGTCCTTTCGACAGAGGGGCCACCTTCAGCAAAACCTAGGGGAGTCGGAGTACCCTTGGCAGCAGTTGGGATAACCAAGGGGTTTTCCTTGTCGTTGATGGCTGCACCATCCTTACTAGCCTCATTGTTGAATTTGTCAATAGGATGCGTCTTCGCCGTAGGGTCTTCTTCTGTCGACGCCCCTTGGAATTCGTCGACCCTCTGAGGGCTAAAAGGGGGCGCCGTCTCAGGTGGATTTCCAGCGGTAGCTGTGGCATTATCAGCATTTACAGCAACAGTTGAGTCGACCACGGTATCCTGCAGAAGGAAGTTTAAGTAAGAAAATACCCAGGTAATATTGGACCAAAAGGACAAAGACGATAAATACCTCAGCAAGATGTTTCGGAGGAGGGATTTCAGTGGCGACAGACTGAAAAACTTCAGCCAGATTGTCAAGAACAGCAGGTTTCACGGTAGAAGTGACCGCTTTGGAGGGTGTCTTTTTTGTAGGAACTCTTTTATTCTTGGCCATTGGGGTAGCAGGAGGAGAGTTTGGTGTTTTAGAAGGAAAGACCCGAGATTGGGTGCTTTCATCCTACGCGCCACCTTCAGGAGTCGACGCCTTTTCAAGAACCTAACAAACAATAGGGTAAGTTGACGGTAGAAGACAAGTGTAAAGAATCGCCAAAAACATGTGGTACTTGGGGATTCAGGACTTTCTGTTTCTTTGCCAGCCTGGTTGAGGTTGGTGCAGCAGTTGGTTCCCTTTTTCGACCCTGGGGAATAAGCACAGATGATTATCTATTGGCAATTAATAAAATGCATAAGAAGAGCAAAGAAGGTACCTTCTTTGAGGTGTCTTCTGTGGCACCAGCTCCTTGGGGATTCTCGACAACTACAGCAACCATCGAAGCAAGGACTTCACCAGCAAGGGAAACAAAGGCATCGACCACATTCTCCAAGAAAAGGTCACGTTTGAAGCATTGGTTTTGGTACTCTGACCACCATACGCTAAAATCCTCTGTTGTAAAGAAGGATGGTTGAAAAGAAAAAACAGGTAACTCAAGGTGTTGACTCGACCTAGCAAAATTGAGGCAGTTCTTGTGGCCTATCAAGTTTAGTCGTCGACCAGCCCACACAATGTCAAAGGAATTCGCACCAAGGACTTCGGCAGCAGTTGACTCAAACCAAATTGTCAGGTCACCAAGTTGGACTGGTAATTCATAAACCCATACACTGTATTCCCCGTCTCAATTCGAAACGATAACATGGTAGGAGTTAGTGTTGGAAATTTGATGTGATAATCTTGGATATCTTCGAGGAATCGTGTTCGTACAAAATTTTGGATATCTTCGAGGAATCTTGGATAATCTTGGATATCTTGGATATCTTGGAAATTTGGTGTGAAAATATGAATTTTGTTCAGTGTGTAAAACTGAGGCCAAATGACTTCTTATATAGGATATTAATTAACAGAAAACGAAAAGGGACATCTGTTCAAAATTTTTGAACGGGTTCATCTTTTCAAATTTAATTTTGAACGGGACCCCAGTCAGGGGCTCTGCCTCTTGGAACCCCACGGGGTGCTGCCCCGCACCCCGCCAGGGGCTTCGCCTCTTGGAACCCCAGCAGGGCGCTGCCCTGCACCCCGTCAGGGGCTCCGCCCCTTGGAACCCCTTTTCAATTATTCGCATTCAATTGTATGTTGGCTCGACGAGCGTGCACTCCGCACTACCCTAACTCGTTTCCAAGCTTAACGTATAATTGCATCGGCCTACAGTAAATCACATTACTACTAAAATACATTGATGATACTAAAACCACCAACAATTAGAAACGCCCTTCATATAGAATTTGACACTGCTGCCGTTTTAGGGAAAGCACTAGGGAATGAATTTTTAAACCACGACGGACCAAACCGTCGACGCACAAAGGGAGCCATGCGAGGGACGAAGGAAGTTGCTTCTGCAAACATGGTGAGATATTTCATAAGAAGGATTTTGTTGGGAGTTCCCTACGTAGTTATCAAGGCGAGTCGAACCCCTTCTATTGAATGTTCTTCATTCAGGCGTTACATTGTTGCAGACACGGGCTAACTCAGCTGGTGCTTGAATGTGGCGTTGAGCCAATGCTGTAACAACCACTTAGGCCTTGAAACATTCAAGGCTTTGGTGGTCTCGTGAAGGAGTTTTATTCTTAAGGTCTATAGACCAAGAGAATGATAGAGAAAGGATAGTAGAAGCTTACCCAAAGATACATGTCGACCCTCGTGTATTTAGATCGCCAGGTTGATATAACTCTTGGCTATTTGTAGAGAGACAGGACATAAGAGGTAGTAAGACAGACAAAGAGTAAGGAATGCGATGTGTTATTCATCTGACACTTTGTCAGAATCTTTAGCATGATAGTCCTCTATAAAGTTCTAAAAATCAACACGTTCGAAGTCGAAGGTGGTGTTTGTTTCCAGGGTCAGATAAAAGGTTTCGCCCAGAGGAGAAAGACTTGTGATGACCGCCACGTCGAAAAGCGTCAGCGTCAACATACCACATGGAAAATGGAATGTGTTGGTCGACCCTTCCCAAAAATACATTGACGCCAACAGTAGACAGGGCTTAACCTTATGAGCATTCCTAGAGAGCTTAATAGCGTCAAAGATGTCAGTTGTCTTCCATTGGTCCTGACGTTTGCCTTGGACCTTGTTCAGCCAGGAGATGTAATCTTTGTTGCCTGGAGTAGGCATCGACCTGAAAACGCGAGCCTTTGGCGCCATAAACTTGAGGTTGAGAACGCCATCTTTCTGAAAAGCAATGGGAATGGTGGGAAGGTAGCAGGGGAAAAATGCTTGAAGTTCCTCATGGCTGGGTTTTTTTATCAAGGTATGGCCCATGGAAAGCATGCAACTTTCCAGCAACCGCGAAGGGTATAATCATCTGACGTTGCCAGGTAGCTACCACCGTGTCATCAGCGGACGTCGGATTTGGAAGAGGTTTGAGGGATTCGACTTCAGAGAGAACAAACGCAATGGGGTTTTTCCAATGGTGTGAGTAGCGGAAGTGGTTGAGGAAGTCATTGAAAGAGAAAGTCAAAGAAACTTTGAAAGCAAAAGCTTGAGGGAAAGGAAAAGTGTGAGAGAAGTTGGAAAAGAAAACCAAATGTGGAAAGAAGCTATTTATACGCAAGCTGGCATGCAGTTGAAAAGACAGGGGGTGATTCCGATTACAGAGTAAGCGCGAGTGGTTTAAAGTCCATAACATTGGGATGCGACCAAGCATGATTCGTTTTCTTGGAAATCATGGCACAGAAAGAAGTCATTATTACGTCAGATTGTGGGTGACGCGTGGCTGACTCGACAGAAAGACAATGATGTTGTTGTTGGGTCAGAACCATTGTGCAGTCAAAACCTCTCAGGAAACCAGAACACCAAGTTTCTCAATCGACATAGTGCTTAATCGAAATTGGGTTTTTGAGGGGGTATCTTATTGAATGGAAGTTTTCAACTGGGAGAATGTGACATAGAAGTTGACTTGTAGGTCGACAGACTAGGAATGGTGGTGAAGAAAACGAGGTGAGTTGACGCCAGCAGAGGAAGTTTGTAAGTCAACTCAAGTCTATTCTGTTAAAGACGTCAACTGATAGTCAAGGAAACCGACACGAAACATAAGAATGTTTAAGCAATAAGAAAATTTAAAAAGTTAAGAACATAGGAAGTTATAATTGTGGTGGAGAGACACATGACAACATCAAAACCAACATAGCAGTTATTTTCTTTTCTATTTAAGACAATGTCTATGTTCATTTTTGGGAGCACATTTTATAACATTGTAAAGGAAAAACACTCTGAGTACCAAGCATTAAGAGAAAGGAATTTCATTTCTATTGAATGTACGATCAAGTCCACATTTCCTTTTAAAAACAATTTACATTACCAAACTTTAACATATTTATTCTCTTTTACTTATTTTATTTGTCATTCATTTGATGTACACATCTTTATTCGAGTTTGTTTCCAATTTATTCAAAAAGAAAATCATTCTACCACTGTCACATATACTCAACCAGATAGTTCTAAGACTTGTTTAGCCGAACTCGTAAATAAACTTGTGTTAGGAGTTTAAAGATTGTTCGCACAAAAGCTACATGCAAACAAAGCCATATAGATGTTGATGACTGAGAAGTTGATCTCAATGAATTAGAAGTTTATGAGTTTCACAACATTGTTGCAGCCATAGAGATGAAAATTGTTTTAACAAGGAAGTCAAGGAAATAGAGAGGGAGTAATGGGTAATAAGTTAGGAATGTGAACAAGTAGAGAATTGCAATTGAAAGTGAATGCGACTGTTGTTTGGTGTTATACTGTAGAATTACAAATGACATATACGTGGAAGATATAACCATTAAGTACATCATAAGAGAATGCGTCGAAGCTAGAGATATTAGGTCTCCAATCATTCAACTTACCATTGGGTTAGGACTTTTCCTTGGCTTGAATAGAATCTTAGGAAAAGTTGAAACATTTTTAATGACATATAAGGCCTAGGGCATAGGGCTGCAAACTGTTTTAGTCAAAAGGCCTGAGCTTGTATGCATAGCTAACAAAAATAAGAAAACTAACAACTTGTCTAAATATCTAAAACATGAAACAACCATCTCCATTTAAAAATACAAGCCATTAAGACATGTTACTGTTCTTTGATGTACTGAGCATTAATTTGATCATCTTTTTAACTTCTAAAAGCCCTTCTTGTCCGAACTGGTGCAATTAGTGTAGAATCTGGAGAGGCCTCTGGTATTTCCTGGGCAACAATTTCAGAATCTGAGCCTTCCATATTTTTCTCAAGACGACGAGTCTTAATCAGATAATGAGCAACAGATTTGAAACCCAATTTTGTCACCTTACATACACAAATGAAAAGGGAACAATCAGTTCCAGAATATACATATTGTGGTCCTTCAAAACAAACCACAAATAACAAAGAAAAATGAAGGGGAAAGATTTATTTAAAGAATGTGAAGAAAATAGAGTACTCATTTATGAGGGGCTAAAATTAGTTTTTCATAAATAATGAAGATATAAGGAAGGAAGAATACAAATGCCAAATTGTGCAACTAACCTTATGGTATATATTGCCGGTAGGCATCCAACCATTTTTCCTGCGACAAATAAAGCAATTGCAAATTTCCCGACAAGAAGGGCAAGTCCACTTGAGATTGAAATTAGCTTCTGTCACATTTTCTCCATATCTAAAATACAGTAGTAGAAAACCACTTATTAAAATTGACAGTCAAATAAGCTAACATAGACTATACTCGTTAAGTTTCAGATGGAGCTAACACCTTGAGGAAATAGAATAACATATTGACATTGCATTTTTTTTCATGTTTCAAAATGGAAAACAAAAAGGGTCCTTTTCTCAAACTGAGTCTCAAATAAAACAATGTTACCTTGTGTACAAGCAATCTCCACAAATCGTCCCTTGGGGCAATTCACATTTATTGCAACTGGTCATCTGACTAATAGTTATGAGCCTACAAGGAAACAAATGATTTCAGTAAAACTTCATGGTCAGATAAACATGTAACATATGGAAGAACTGACGTGTCAACTGAGTCTCAATTACCTAAGGTAGAACAATTTAAAACACATGCATATGGAGATAAATAGATCTTCAATGAAAAACACATGCATAAAACTGTTTTACCTAAGGTAAAACAATTTAAAAAGCATAGAACAAATGTTATCCTTTGCCAAAGACAACATTTGCCATATATTTTATAAGCACTCTGTTAAGGGTGATTTCTCAGAGTTCGAGGACTGAGTGCCTCCTTAAGAAATTAGGTGAGAGAAAAGAGTCTGTTATTTCATTTCATGATGTCAACAAAGGAAATACAACTTCTTAAATAAAGGAACTAACAAATATTCAATAACAAACTATTTTGGACTTATTCTAAGCTGGTAGCAGCACTGCATACCAACAGAATCTTGGATTGCTTCTAGAACCATCAGCTAACGTCACTTGTATATCTCATAATCTTGGAGTCTCACAGGTAACTTAATTATGCGTTTGGGCTTAGTATTGACTGGCCCAACTTCAGCAATCTCTATGGGCTCAACACTAGTGGACTCCTCTTCATTAACCAAAGGGGTGTATGTAACAATTCCTGCCCCATCAAAGCCAACCTTGTCCTCAAGGTTGTAAACCGAAGACAGCGTGTCCCAATCTTCCCAGGAAGTATCATCGGGAGACAATCCTTGCCACTGCACAAGGACTTGACGCTTGGAGACGCCTGCTGAAGTGACAGTCCTAGAATCCAAAATAGCGAGGGGTTCCACAAGAGGATGATTATCAACCGAATCAAATGGTAAAGGATCGATGTCGGATGGATTAGAACCATGATGCTGTTTGAGGACAGAACAATGAAACACATTGTGGATTTTGGAATTTGAAGGGAGTTCTAATTTGTAAGCTACTTCATCGATGCGCTCCAACACAACGAAGGGACTGTAGAATCGCTTGGACAACTTGCTATACTTCCCACCGGTGACAGAGATTTGTCGATACGGCTGAAGCTTAACATAAACCCAAGATCCAACCTCAAAGGATACCTCTCTCCTATGACTATCCGCATTAGTCTTCATGCGCGCCTGAGCCTTCGTTAAATTACGACTGAGAAGGGCTAGAATCTCTTCTCGAGAATTGAGCATATCGTCGCATGCATTGACAAGGGACGAGCCTTCAATATAAGAGGGAATCGCAGGTGGAAGCTTACCGTATACTGCCTGGTATGGTGTAATTCCAGTGGCGGAGTGGAATGAAGTATTGTAATGCAATTCTGCCCAAGGCAAAAAACGGAACCACTGTGAGGGTCTATTGTGGACAAAGGACCGCAAGTATTGCTCAATCGTGCGATTGGTAACTTCCGTTTGTCCATCAGTTTGAGGATGATAAGACGAACTCATCCGGAGTAAGGTACCACTGAAATGAAAGAGATCGGCCCAAAATCGACTAATGAAGATGGGGTCGCGATCTGAAACTATGCTCTTAGGGAGACCATGTAATTTGCAGACCATATTAACAAATAATTCCGCAACTTTGTAAGCAGTGAATTGGGTTGGAAGAGCACCCAAATGAACAGCTTTGGAAAATCTGTCAACGACCACGAAAATAACGGTGTAACCATGAGATATAGGCAAGCCGGTAATGAAATCAAGAGAAATGTCTTCCCAAACATTGGTAGGAATGGGTAGTGGCTGGAGAAGACCCCCGGGTTTGGCAGTGCTATATTTTGTTTGTTGGCACACCACACAACAGTTAATGAATGTCTTCACCTCAGTGTTTCAATTGTGATCAAAGGTGGGAAGTATAGCAAGTTGTCCAAGCGATTCTACGGTCCCTTCGTTGTGTTGGAGCGCATCGGTGAAGTAGCTTACAAATTAGAACTCCCTTCAAATTCCAAAATCCACAATGTGTTTCATTGTTCTGTCCTCAAACAGCATCATGGTTCTAATCCATCTGACATCGATCCTTTACCATTTGATTCGGTTGATAATCATCCTCTTGTGGAACCCCTCGCTATTTTGGATTCTAGGACTGTCACTTCAGCAGGCGTCTCCAAGCGTCAAGTCCTTGTGCAGTGGCAAGGATTGTCCCCCGATGATACTTCCTGGGAAGATTGGGACACGCTGTCTTCGGTTTACAACCTTGAGGACAAGGTTGGCTTTGATGGGGCAGGAATTGTTACATACACCCCTTTGGTTAATGAAGAGGAGTCCACTAGTGTTGAGCCCATAGAGATTGCTAAAGTTGGGCCAGTCAATACTAAGCCCAAACGCATAATTAAGTTACCTGTGAGACTCCAAGATTATAAGAAGGTTTTCCGGCCATGTTGAAGGTGGTTCTCTCAATGAAAGCACCAGTGTTAAGGGTGATTTCTCAGAGTTCGAGGACTGAGTGCCTCCTTAAGAAATTAGGTGAGAGAAAAGAGTCTGTTATTTCATTTCATGATGTCAACAAAGGAAATACAACTTCTTAAATAAAGGAACTAACAAATATTCAATAACAAACTATTTTGGACTTATTCTAAGCTGGCAGCAGCACTGCATACCAACAGAATCTTGGATTGCTTCTAGAACCATCAGCTAACGTCACTTGTATATCTCATAATCTTGGAGTCTCACAGGTAACTTAATTATGCGTTTGGGCTTAGTATTGACTGGCTCAACTTCAGCAATCTCTATGGGCTCAACACTAGTGGACTCCTCTTCATTAACCAAAGGGGTGTATGTAACACACTCAAGGATGGTGGCACCTCCATGACAGCCATCACTGTTGTCAACAAAATTGTCAAGCCATTTTGACATGGCCTCCATTTAACAACACTGCATACAACTACAGAATGTAACAAAAATAGCACCAAAATTTAAAGCATATGCCACAGCCTTCTCATTCCATGTTACTAGAACTTATTGAAAAATCATCAACATAAAGCTTGATCTTCTATATCAAAGTCAGCCATTTTTAATCACTAATTTTAGTCAAATAGAATATGCTTTCCCTTTTTTTCTTATGACAAACTAGTGAACAACAATGCATGTGACTTCTTTGTGTGTAACAACATTCTTAATAATCCTTCTTTCAAAATAAATTGTAATGAATAGAAACTAACAAGCCCTTAAAAGGTAAGGGCACGTATCAATCAAAGAGCACAATGAGTCAATCAATCAAATATAAAACCATTATACCTGCATTGATGGCATTTCTCTCCCTTGGTTGGATCATATATACGGTCCCCATCCTCATCATATCCATCCACATACAATTCCCAATCAGTCTCGCAATCTCCCAGAAGCTTCTCGTGCTCTTCAGTATAAACTTCAGGCTTTGTACCTTCTGGTATAAAAATCTCCACTTCTTTCTTTCCCCTACTTCTTTGACTTTGACGCTGAGCTTTAGGAAGCTTGAAACAATAGTCAACCGGTGGCACACTCATTAATCTGTAAACACATCGAGCATAAATAGAAAATCAGCTCCACTCATCATAAACTATCAACCAAAACTCAAACAACACAGAAACTCACCATGGTACTATCATCAAAAATGCAAAACCATCACACAGAATTGGGAAATACTAGCAATCTATGAAACAATAACAGATACGAACACTGAACACGAGATTAACACATTTAAATTATAACTAATAAACATAAATTAGCTTAAATGCTAAACATGATTTTAGGGTTTTGCAAACCTAATTTCTCTCATTTAATTAATAAATGTTGTAGCCTAACTTTAATACATACGAAATTGTTCAAATAGATTAAGCAAAAAAATTAAGAATACCTAGAAGAACGTCTTTCTGGCTGATTAGTCGGTGACGCGATTTTCCTGACGAAGGTTCGTGGTGTTCTCTTGAGCTTCAGAGAAAGGTTCAACAATCCAAGCATTTGCATTCTCTCGGCGTTCTCTTTGATCCTTTGTTCTCGAATCTGTTCGTAATGCGATGAAGAAAACGAAACGACAACAGCGTCACCTTCTGTTTTCGCCGTTTTGGTGATGGAGGCATGTTCACTCTCAGAAGACGATGAATTTTCTTCTTTTTTGTTTCTCCTTCTATGAGTTCCCATTTTCACACACTGTTTCGTGACTCTTTTGTTTTAGAAGGTTTTACTTTGTTTTAAGCAATAAAAGGTGAAGTAAAATGGCGGGACTTTTACTTTTCAATTTTCACATTCTACCTCCAAAAATCTTGCTCCAAATTCCAATTTTCACTACTAAACCAAATTTGAGGGGAAAAAAATATTCATATTAAATTTGTTTATAGCATACTTTTTTATTCTCAAATTTAAATTTCTTTTTGTCATTTCTCACCAATATGAAAATAAAGATATTCTTTTATATGAAAAAAATTACTATGTGTTACTTTATAAAAATTATTTCTTATTTTTTAAAAAGTAAATTGAAAAATTGAAAGAAGTGGAAGTGATAAATAATAATAAAGTAATTATTAATATTTTATTATTGATATTACAAAATAATTTGTAGATTTTGATTTTAAGATTGGAATTGAATTTTCCTTACCGAGACATGTAATACTCGAGCATGATATGTTGTACGATATGTCGTGTTGTGCAGTCGAGTTGTAAAAACCACGACATTTAGAGTTAAGAGTTAAGATTTTATTTTCCATGCACAAATGTGGAAGACGGTTCATTAACAAAACTATCAAAACATTTAGGGATGCAAAAGGGATTGTTGACAAGCTGGAAAAACAATACTAAGATAAAGTTATATAAGGTTGTGGCAGATGTGAGCTCAGGTAAGCAACTAATATTCCTAGTTGTAGGATTTTTAAATATAGGCATCTTGTTATAAAAGTTGTTAAAGAGAATGGTATTAATTAATATAGTTTATTATGGTCATATAGTGATGGATTGAGAAAGATTTCACCAAGAAATACTTTATACATTTAGTGTCTTGAGTCTGTTTTCAACCAAGGTTTGAAAGGTGCTACATTGTTTTGATGGAAAAAAATGCTTTGACAGTTGCATTTAAACCATTTATTATATTAGCCGAATGTCAATCTACGAACAAATATTGTGAAATAGTGTTGATTGTTGTTAGGAAAAATCCAAATGATCAATACTTACCTATAACTTTTGGGGTTATTAAGACTTAAACGAAATACTTTTATATCTATATTTTATTAACATGCTTCTTGAAGACATTGGTTATCGTAGGTGGTGTTTCGTTTCTAATCAGCATAATCTATCTTTTATGTTTTACCACCTCCTTAAAAGATGTGTTGTCATCAGAAAAATAGAAATAATATGATTCTATGTGTTGTATAAGTATTATCGTAAAAAGGTGTTGGTTTTGATGACGACAACTACCAGAGGATGAGATGATCACAACTATCAAGTATTGATGACAATGTTAAATGGAGGTATTGGTGACAATTCTCAAAAGGCTTTAATCACAACTATAATTTAAAAGGTTTTTGATGATGATATATGAACAAGAAGAAGATATTTTAACTCTCATCAGTCAAATGTATCAAGGTCAAGTTGAAACTGCTATTCAATTTTGAATCAAGTAAGGATCTTGAAAGTTGCGATATTTAAAGATGTAAAGGCTTGAAGTCTTGAAGTTTTGGACTTGAATATGTGAAAGTGTGAAAACTCGCAAGATCTCGTGCTTAGTTTCTTTTCCTAGTTTTTATTAATTTAATTGCAAAATCGAAAATAGTAAGTCTTAAGGTACTAAGTCAATGCACACGCATACAAAAAGTGTTTTCAAACCTCTTTAATCTTTTGGTAAAATCTCTTAACACCATTCCGAATACACTCCTAATTGGTTAGAAGCTTGGTTAATCAATTAGGAAGATATTTTACACAAGTATATCGATTAAAGGCTTACTTTAATCAAATATATATATGTTTAGCCCCTCTTAATCAATTAATTTTTTAAACAATTAAGTGATGTCGAAACTCAATCTTTCTTAATTTGTGTTGGTTAATCGATTATCACATATTTAATCGATTAAATCATTAAAAGGGTCCATAGATAATTGTTAAGCTAGATTTTCTCCAATATAAACGAGGTTTCTCCTTATTTCATAATACAACTTTTTTTTTAATAGAAACCTTTATAATATTATTTTATTCTAAAAATATTTTCCTTTCACTAGAGTTTTCTTAGTGGAAAAAGAGTGAAAAGTTTCTTCTGAGAGTTATGATGTACTTGTTGGATGTGATACTCAACACTCCCCCTCAAGTGTGAGTTTATCCATAATGTTCCCCCTTAAACGGAAGCTTTTTTCATCCACATACGCCTGTACCGTCGGGACACCTCATACCCATCACATGTGGGGAATACTTTTCTACTAAGGAGAATTGGACATTGTAGGACTTCTTTTCTAGAGCAACATCTTTGTAAGAGACACGCCACATATTCACCCAAAATATTAAGGTGATAGGTGTATGGATTCTCCCACTTATAAATGCTCAAGTCTTCACATTTCTAGCCAATGTGAGACTATTACCCATACTACTCACACTTTCTATACTCAACAGTATTGGCGTTGTGCTAAAATGTGTTTTATTCAAAAGCGTGATTCTTTTGTGTAATATCTTTGTAAACGATTTAAAGGTTGCAAGATAAACCTGCAAAAGTTTTAGGTGTAGGTTCTTGAGTTAAACCTATGTAAAAGTTTTGGTTTTTGTTAAGAAGGTTTGTGGGATAATCTTGTGCAAAGGTTATTTAGGGTGACTATGTAAAAAAAAGCTCAAAGTTGATTTTACTGAAAATCTCAAGGAAAAACTCTTGAAAATCGGAGTAAACCAAGTTATTTAGGTTGAACAAGGATAAATCTCAAGTGCAATATTTTCATCCCTTATCTTTTTTTCTTTCATTTATTTTCTTTCCTTATTTGTTTCTCTCTTTGTCCATTTTCCCGTTGTTATTCCTTTGTTTACTTGTTTATACTAATATAAATGTTTTCAAAATTGAAGTTTTTATAAGTCGTTTTTTAATCCCAAATAACATAATTCATCTTTCTCCAATCGTATGTTTGGGATCACTCAGACAACAATATTACCATTAAAATTCAATCAATCCTAAAAATTTATCCTTCTTGTCCACTGTAGAGTTAGTTATTAAAAAATATCAATATTGATATTTTAACTTGACACACTTCTATATTTCTAAAAAATGTTGTTAAATTCCAAAACCCCTTTTCGACTATTCGTACAAAAATAACAAACTATCATCAAATAAAAATAAATAAATAAATAAGACACTTGAGGGCTTTTTTTGTCTATTCTAATATTATTAATTTTCTCTTATTTTTGGCCTTTTAAAATAAGTTATAAAAACGCACACATCAGTTCAAAGAATAAAAAGAAATGGAGAAAGAGGATCTACTTGCCTGCTTTCTCTATTAAGGTTTAAATATTTTTAAGAATTATCATCAATAAGAATATAAAATTAAAAAAAAAAAACTTAAATACATTTTCGCGGTCCCCCTATTTTATTGATTTTTAATTTTTAGTTCTCGCATTTTAAAAATTAACTTTTTGATCCCTAAACTTTACATTACATAAGATTTAGTTGGTCTCTTCAATTTTATATATGTGACATTGATGATTAAGACAAAAAATTTATTTTTAATAAGTTAGCAGTATTGACTAGGATTATTTTTTTATTAATATTTTTTAATTAATTAATTTTTTTATAAATATATTTTTAATATTATTTAAGAAATTTTTTATTTAAAAATTTATTCGAAAATTATTTAAGATAAATTTTAAAATAATAATATTGGGCCTTGAGCCCAATCGATTACAAAGTCTATCCACTCCAACTCACAAGTGTTTCAATTGTTGAGTTTGTTTAATCTATATAAACACCAAATTATTTTCACCTAAAACGATGTGAGACTATTCTATATATAAAAGCATGGACGACTCAAATTGTCGGTTACTACTGTTGCATTTGTTTCCATATTTATTGTAAACAAATACAACACAAAGTGCACTTGAGACACGAAAAAGCTAATTTTTTAAATAGTAGAATTAAAAGTTAAAAACATCAAATTAAAAAGATTAAAAGTGCATTTAAGCCTATAAAAAAATAGTTCTGACATAATATATATTAGTATCAGTGATATTGATCTGACCTGATCAGAAGGGGATCACGGACTAGCCACACGCTGTTGGACTGCTACCTGTTCACCGGTGATGAGGAGGAGAAGGGGGTGTACCTGCAAGACACTCCGATGCCAAAGTAAGGAGTTGGGCAGAGTGAGAGCAAAATACAGAAATGGGTAAGAAGTGAATTACCTGACGTTCTTGAGGAAGAGGGTATTTATAGAGAGACCCCAGGCAAGGTAGGGCCTGGTGGAACATTATTGGGCTGGGCCAGCACAGTTCAGCTCGGGGCCCAGGCCAGAACAGGAGCCCCCCAAGTCGTTGCTCCGAGGATGGGAGTGAGGACTTGATGACGTTGCTCCGGGGAAGCGGACTGATCTGGGGGAAGATTTCTCTGTGCGAGGACGCGCGTTCTTCGTCGTCGACCGCCCGGGCTCGAAGACGGGTATTGGCGGGGAGAGGTGAAGAGACGCGTCTGTCTGCTTCCGCCACGTGTTGCGTTCTGGTTGGCTGCTAGGGAGGCTACCCTAGGGTACTCAAGTGTCTAGCGACGCTTCGAGTCCCGTGCAAGGGTATAAGTGAGTGAGCCCCAACTCATTTCTCACTTTTCGCCCTCTTGTTTTCAAGTTTCCAGCCTGCTGTTTCGCCGTCGTCCGATATTTCCGCCGTCACAGCCGCCGCGTTCTCCGTCGTCGATTTCATCGCAGTAAGTTTTATTTTTCTTTTCTCTTGCTTTTCTTGTTTGTTTCCTGATCGTGGTCGGGGCTGTTTGAATGCCCCGAGGAGAGGCGAAAATCTTCGCCGTTCTCGAGGGTTTTTTTAGGGTTTTTGTTATGAATGTCCCGGGGTGAGATGCTAGTTTTGATGAGTGTCCCGGGGAAGGAAGATTTTTCCGATGAATGCCCCGGGGAAAGATTCTTTACTCCGATGAACGTCCCGGGGAGCGACGTCTATTCCGGCGGATGCCTCCGAGGTGG